TTTAACGCTTCAGGAATAAAAAGCGAAGATGCTGCTGTGAAATGTGTCGCGGGGTGTGTGTTCTCTCGCGGAGGTGGGAGCCCTGTGAGCGGTACAGGTGTGTGATGTTGAGCTGGCGCTTCCGGTCGGAAGGAGACTCGAGCTGTTGCCTTTTGATCCTTTGAAGGAGACTTCTGCTTTTGTACAGCAGAGAGGCAGCCTCTGGTTTCCTTTAGTATGCCAGACCGAGCAAGAGAGAGGCGCTGGGTGAGGAGGAAATAAACCAGTTTCAGTCCCTTAGTTTTGTAGCTTTGTGAAGTCACTAGCGTTTCTTAATAAATTTATGATAAACCTGACTGTTTTCATTTGCCACATAACTGAAGTGTAACGCTAAGAATGAGCCTTGTTCATCAGTGGGGGTTTCACAATTGCAGCCCCTCTTACGAAGTTTTTAGGTGATAATTTTATGAGAAAGCATTGCTAGTGAAATGTGGTCATTCTTAAGCTCTAAGCTTAGGGGTCTCCAACTTCAAATGCAAGTGTGGAATCCTCCAGAGATTTCTGTAAAGGTTTTATGCAAAGAAGCCTTTTTTGGACTTTGCAGTATAGCAGGTATGAATCTGCTTCTTTTAGTCGTCTTATGCACATGACTTGGTAATCCACAGACTGCACTAGACCAGTGGGTTCTAAACTGTCTCATTAGAGAGTCCACAGTTGAAAAAAGCGAACCCTAAAAGCCAGAGGGAAGCAGTAACTCCAAATTGAGCTAGATTTTAAGACTTTACAAGTCTCTATAGGTGCAGCTTTTGGACTTTTCTTTTTTCTTCCTTCCAATGACTTAAGGTTGGTAGCATCATTTCTTTGATGACCTGTTCAGGTAGTTATAGCAGACAGGAACAGTGTGATGTTGAGTGTGGGATAAGAGGACATAGAGTTTATCTACTGCCAGTCTGGCTTGTGAATCAGAAGCTGTGATTCTGTTCCCGAGGAGCTCACTGTGCTGCTGCCTGAACGAACTGACTGTGGCAATGATTTGAGACACTCAAAGTATCAAGAAGTTTCTCTTCAACCCAAGTTGATCTGTCTAGTCCAAAACTGGTCAGAACCAGACCCAACCTTTCTGTCTGAGCACTAGTTGTTGATCACCTTGCCAGAGAGTAGGGGGTATGCCTGACAAACACTGCATTGGGAAAAGTATTAGCTTTATAGGAATTTAGAAATTTGTGTGAAAAACATGAATTACTGAGAGCAATATTAATAGGAGGCCTCTCACAAAGGAAAAAAACAATAGTGCTGGGGAGGAACTCTTTTTTTTTTCCCCCCCCTTTGGAGAATTGGATTTTCCATAGTGGTGTAACCTGTGAATGTTCAGTAGCGAATTGAGGTCAGAAGATTTTGGGAATGTGACAATTGTTTCAATCTATAAAACAATTTTTTTTTGTGCAGACTTATAACTTGCATAGCTGGACTTATTGTATTGTCCTTATGTAACAGGGACCTGGAAAGAGTTCAGAGTACATAATTTTGTGGGTTTTGTTAGTTTTTGTTGTTGTTTGGTTGGTTTGGGTTTGTTTTTTGTCATGGTCACCAGACTTACTGCTCTGCCTTCAAATGATTAGCATAAATATATTATTGGGGAAGGAATCTGTGTGTGTGTGTGGTAGGCCCTAAAGCAGCAGCTTTAGAGCTGTTGTAAACTTTCAATTTACACCCATTTTTCTTTAAAGGTGTTAAATAAATTAATTGAATTGGAGGAGCAGGGAGTCAGAACCGCCTGTCTGTTGTGCTTCTGTAGCAAGCTCTAATACTTAGAAAATCTTACAGCAAGATGTAATGTAGTGCTCCTAATAACTAGTGAATTTATTTAAAAACTTTGTCTGTCTTGTCTTTCTTCAGCCTTACTTACCTTCTTCGTCACCCCACACCCCCCAAAATCTCTCCTCTGGAGAACAAAAGACAGCTTCTGAGATCATCTCCTTCATTATAGCAGGTTAAGAAATCCACGGAATTAAAGCAAAGATTCTGGGAAGTGTGAAAATGACAAAACAATTGTACCTCTTACTACTGTTAGGGAATCCTTTGGAGGTCGCTTTTCATTGTTACCTGTGAAGCAGCTGTTCACTCCCTGTTAGTAGATTCTCAACACAATCTCAATACAATACCTTTTCGCTCTCTTTTCAGGGGCCTCCTTCCATCTGCCCATGCAAATTCCTTTCTGGACATCAGGGCAATAGAAATAGTCTAATATTATCTCAAGAAAGAAAGGGGTTTACTATTACTGGGGAAAAAAAATAAAGTTTAGAAACCCATTTGGACTTATAGGTAAAGGTGCCTGTTTTTATGTGCGGAACGATCCTGTGCTGCAGTGCAGAGACTGGTTATTTATGAAGGGCAAATTGCCTGTACAGACTTCATTGAGGCATGCTTCGTGGTGGCTTGGGACAACTCCCAGTGAAGGGTTGTTCCCTTTGGGTTACTTGCACTGTGAAGATTCTTAGAATTCTGGCTCCAGTAGTTGTTTCCCTTCTGAGTAAAAGGATTTCAATGTAAAT